AAGAGAATAAGTAGAGTGGACTATTTCGTTTCCAGGAGTTGGTGATCGCCTAATTCTCAAAGACTTCTCAAAATGTGACAGTCTAGACTTTGAGACATAGTGGACGTTAATGTAGGTGAAAAATCAGATAACATCAAAAAGTCGACATTGTGTTGGTTACTTGACAACTGCCATGAAAGGCTTAGGACTGATCGACTACGAAGGTTTATAACACGTCCAGCTGCATCTGCAAGAGTGAGGCACAAAGAAGTTGAGGAAAATAATCAGCCACCTGAGCTGGCTAAAAGAATGAAAACAAAAAGGGTAAAAGTAAATCAAGTTTCCACCGACAGCGAGACTGGTATATCATGATATTCATCATCTCATAGTACTGAGGAAAAAATACCTTACGACGACAGCACCTATAGTGAGCCAGCCCGAGATATAGATTTTAAAGATAATGATGAGCTCAACACAGAACAAGATGAAGAACTAGAAGAAAACACAGTTGTTGGTGAAAATACTATCCTCTTCTACAATAACCGTAGCATCACCTCAACCTCAAAGTATTCCTCTCAGACTTGGCCAGTGGCATAGGGGGTATATTACGAGGAGGGATAGTATGTTGGCCGCATTGAAAAAAGTATTAGCGACTGTGAATTTCGCATAACGTTTTTAAAACAAATCAGAAGGGAGAACAAATTCTTCTGGCCAAAGACCACTGATGCCGTAAATTTCCAGAGCACATTTATATTCATAGTTCCTGTGACTTTTTCAGTAACTGAGCGGCCTTCCAGATCGTCGTCATCGAACAAATTACCAGATGCAGTTGTCTATCACTTGGGTCAAAATGACTTCAATAGTATTCAAAATAAGTACCTTCGTCTGAAATCTCAATTTTAATGATCTTTGTTCAACCAGGCGATTGTATGTTCATTTACTTATTTTTAAGAAATCCTATTTTTATTTTGATCTGAGTATTCTGAGATTACTTCTAAATAAATATATTATTTCCAAAGCTACAAAATATTTGGTTCTAAAATACAAACCTTCCGGTAGATATAGCAAAAGCAGGGTAGGGGAGACCGGTGTCGAATGTAACAGGTGTCGAAAGCAACAGACTGATTACCAACGTCATCAAGCCAATATTGCCTGAATCGCATGTGCAGGCTAAACCAGACAGCGCACTTTTCCTTCGGTATCCACAGCAAAAAGTAAATAAGCACAGTGCCATAATTTGTCTCTAAAATTCTATAATGGAGTACCACTGAAGTATTTCTAGGTAAGTATCCTTTTGTTTGTTGTTTGTGCTTTAACTTCTTTTAGATAGCTTTAATATTTTACGTATAAGTTAAGACAAATAGTCAATGTAATTTTAGGTTTGGTGTCAATTGTAACACGTCCGGCGGTGTCGATTGTAACACCTTACAATCGACACCGGGTCATGCCCTTTTTTGATAATCTTATTTTATTTTCAGTTTAACGAAACAATGGTTAAACCCAGGGCAAGAAAGACTGAAAGAGGATTGATACCTAAAATCGAAAGTTATTCACCCTATTACGCCTGAACGTAGATTCGTCTGTCACCGATATGCACTTCAGAAAGTCCGGATTATTGTCATGTTGATGCAACAACCACTCACAAAACCGCACTCTTGCTGGAAAATCGTCAGGTTGAAGCCCTTGCTTTTACGCGTTGGACGTTTGCCACACTTTAGTTTTTGATACTTGCACTTCTCTAGCCACGTCTCTAGTGCTTGTTGAGGGATTCTCGTCTACGCGATTCAGTAGTTCTTCCTCAACTTGCACCATTCGTGGTTGTCTAGGCCTCCCACTGTGCCCACCTCGAAATTCCTCCAAATGGCCCGTATCCCTGACTCTCTGATACACAAATCTGCGGGGCCTTGGGTGATGTCGTCTAGGGAAACGATCTGCATACACTCGCGACGATTCTGTATCATTTTGAAGACATTCGCCATAAATTAACAACATATCAACGAGTTCATTATTGGTGTATGAGTGTGCCATTATTATTTTATTCTTTTTTTGAAACGCAATCGCTTATACGGGTTCGTTACCTCTATACGCGTGACCCTTTACCGTCGGTTGAAGGTTGCAGACTGACCTGACACACTGACCCCGACCCCCGACCCAGTTCTGTCGTCGGGTTCAGCTAGTAGCCGGTACCAGTCTGAGATATCGCGGGTCGCGGCTACAGGACGGTATTCAGATATTTTTGATGTTGCAGAGCCCTTTATCTCGGTTCCCTTAAGACATTGGTGTATATGGTACTAAGAAAAATTGCTTATGTTTTCAAGATCTACACGTCGTGTAAAGGAAAACCCCAACTTTGCGGACACCCTGTATATATTTATTGTTGCGAGCTGTTAGCTGTATCCTTCACAATCACAGTCTGGTCGAGGATGTCGACGCCACTGGTCATTCGGGTATCTTCGGCAAATTGTCCGCTAAATTTTGTCTGCCAACTTCACACCGGTGTATACGACCATGTTTTCCATATACTTCTTGAAGTCTTTGGAAATGACGAACCAATTTAAGTTTCAATAAGCTCTTTATTCTAACATGTTCTTATTCAGTATTACGATTAGTACATGAAAAGATTACACATATTTACAAGTTGCGTTTCTTCTATTTATATACACAAAACAAAATATGAAATACACATCAGTACGAGAACAAATACCTAAATCTAACTAGGTATTTTTTACATAAAACATTCAAGGACATCACACGTATATACTATACACATAGCACATGATATTACGATAAATATAATACTGTATTTACAATACAAAAATTTTATTTTTCCGCCGTTAAGTAGACAGCAACAGACCCAGAAAGTGAACATATAACTGATCTCGTGTATTAGATCGAAATGAGATACTACAGACCAAAATATGTGAATTGACCCAAGCATACCTTACTCCAAAAGTTGATAGTTTGCGACATACGGGGTGTCAAAGTTACAATTTTATGTTCTATTTTTCCTTTCTGCTCGAGAAGTATTTAAGATTTTGCCATAAAACTCGGTTTGGGGACATTTTCTAGTATGACAAGCAAGAATCCGTTATTCTTCATCGCCAAAGTTCTAGAGGGCGCCAGGTACAGCACCTTTTCGGTAAATAACTTATCATAACTTTTTTGTGCTACCCTGTATACAACAACTGACCGAAAAATCTTATTTTCTCGTATTTCCACAACAAAAAAGGTTTGCTTGCTAGAAGTCTCTAAAGCTAATAGTTTTCGAGACATTTGTTTCAATGCATTATTTGTACCATGATGATAAAACATTTTTTTTAACATAATAATCAAGTTGCTTTGGATAATATCTGAGTAGCGTTGCTATGGTTTCTAATGTTCGTCATAATATTGCTTCAAACTTCATGAATAATTTTAAGTTGACAATAAGTTGTTAAACATCGTCGAGTATACGTTTGATGAATATTCTGATATGCATTTAATGTACGGATTGGCAAGATGTGATGCTTTAAAAACAAATATCTCGAAAACTATTAGCTTTAGACACTTTTAACAAGTAAACCTTTCTGTTGTGGAAATACCAGAAAATAAGACTTTTCGGTCAGTTACTGTATACAGGGTAGCACAAAAAAGTTACGATAAATTAGTTACCGATATAGTGCTGTAAGTGGCGCCCTCTAGAAGTTTGACCATAAAAAATAACGTATTCTTCTATCCCATAATAGAAAACCTCCCCATACCGAATTTTAAGCCAAAATCTGGAATACTTCTCAAGCGATAAATAGAAAATAGAAAATAAAATTGTAACTTTGACACCCTGTATCTCGCAAGCTATCAACTTTTGGACTAAGGTCTGTTCAGGTCAATTCATATATTTTGGTCTGTAATATCTCCAGTTTCGAGATTTCCCAACATTTCGTAGTGACCCTGTATACGTACACCGACTATCAGAGTAATTTTCGTTACTTTTCAGTTCCTATAAAATTACCTTCTTAGATATCAAGTAGTTTCGTAGTCACTTCTGTCGCTGTGTATATGCAGAGAATCAATTTTTCAGAAAAAAAATACATAGTTTCTGAGTCTGTCTCTATAAAAGGTACATTAGCTATTACAGCAATATCAATAAAGCCATTTTTTTTATTTATCATCAATCAAGTTTTTCATTCACCTGTAATGATATGCAGACCGTACGTTTATAATGCCGTCTAATTCGAGACAGGACCGGAAATCGTGATCTCTAGTTAACATTTGCCTTTCTAAAGCATGTGTGGATACTAGATAAAAAGATAACTAGAGGAAGATTACTTACTGATCCTCAATAACAGTTGTTCATTTGAGTATGACTGTGACCTGACTGGATTTATGGAGATGATTGGGCAAAGAGGTAGCTGGTTTGATGCAACATTACTTTTATATAAACATTTTTCTGATGATTCAAAATAAAACAAAAATGTACACAACACCGCCGTTCAATCCACCTGGAATACTCAAATAATGAACCGACCAATATCTCTATTGGTAAAACAGTAGGGGGAATACGTACAAAATGACATAGGCGGGTTATTTTGAATTTGGCTGACTATGACACGAAACTGACAGTGACACCACGCGACCATACTGGCACTCTATAATCTGTTAAATTTTGAACGCTACATCTCATTCGTCTTGGCGCATGGCCGATGAGAGGTATTCTCATGTCACGAGGCATTCCATACTGACATTTTTTTTACACAAATGATTTCTTGCTATTGTATCTATTTATGCAGCATTTGTTTCATTCCTCAAATACCTATCTTCAAATTAAATAACTTATTCTTAGAAAAAGAGCTCTTTGTATATTTATTCACAAATGTTATAGTTTTAAAACCCTCTACGGACAAAACGACATACATATGTAACGGACAAAATGGCATTTTGCCCATAGCTTTTGTGTTATACGTAGGTATGTATTTTTTTCAGATACCAAAATACCACGCGATTATAAACGAACGACTAACCGGCAAGTTTGGAGTACGGAGTCAATGAAGAAACCCGTCGAGGCAATTCGAGATAAGAAAATGGGCTGGTTATTGGCCTCAAAAATATTTGGTGTTCAGCAAGCAACTCATCGCACGCATCTTCTAGGCACTAATAAAACTTTGGAGTCAAATTCAAAAGCCCTTGGTTGTTGGAAAGCTACCTTTCTATCTGATGTGGAAAGCCAATTAGTTCCGCATATAAAATTCCTTGATAGTCGGTTGTTCGGACTGACACGAGCATCGGTACAAGAATTAGCTGTTCACATGGCTGAGAAAAACGGTTTTGCTCATATATTTAACATCCAAAAGCAAAAGGGTAGACAAGACTGGTTGAATGGGCCTCTAAGACGTAATAAACATATATCTTTGCGCAAACCAGAAGCCACTTCAGCAGCTCGCGCTCAAGCTATTAATCGACCACAAGTCCAAAAGTCTTTTCAGTTGTACGGAAGCTTGCTAGAATATGATGGATATACGCACCGTATCTATAATCCTGATGAATCTGGGCTATCTAAAGTACAAAAACCTGAGAATATTTTAGGTACCAAGGTAAGAAAACAAGTCGTAGTTATAACTAGCGGAGAATGGAGCAAACACCACTGTTGTTTGTTGCTTTAACGCTGTTGGAACTTCTATCCCACCGTTGATGATATTTCCTAGAATAAATACGAAAAACGAACTCATAGATGAAGCTCCTCCTGACATTTTAGGTGTAGCTCAACAATCAGGCTGGATGACCACCGGAATATTTATGAAATGAATAAAGCATTTCCAAAGTTTTGTAAAAGCAAGCATTGACGATAAAGTTATTCTAATTGTCGATGGACATGCGAGTCATAAAGGCATGCAACCTCTTGACGTCTCCTTTTTTGGGCGTTTGAAGACCTACTATAACCAAGAAATTGCTAAATGGCTGAAGCCACATCCTGGACGTGTTATTACGGTCTCCACATCGCTGGCTTGTTCAATGCAGCATATGGCAACGCAGGTACGGTAAAAATGCATGTCACGGATTCAAAAGCACTGGTCACTGAACGCTGATATATTTTCGGATTATACGTACGAGCTTGCTGAAACCACAAACATACCGCTGGAACACAACTCCAAAGAGCAACCTCCTCAGTCTTCAACAGTAATGAGCTCTGTCGAGTCTGAACACGTTTTGACACATTCTCACAATAAGCAGATGATTCAGTTCCTGTGACAAATACGTCTCTGGTCGCTGTGGATGCTGCGTTACCTCTCGTACAGCCATGGTCCAATGATACGATGTCTGAAGAAAGTAATGCAGCCGAAATAACAGCACTTACCGACCCACCAGCTGAAAATTCAACTCAGATTCCAACATCAAACTGCGGTCTATAAGTTGTTTCAACTGCTGTGAACATACGTCGTCTTCTGCTCTTGCTGTTCCTATTGAGGTACCTTCTCCCGTACCAAAAGGACATTTTATTAGGTCGTTAAATTGGATGACGATAGCAAAATGGCGTTAAGGCGAACCGTACATTCATTCTTCTTTAGGAATGAGATACCAACGCTCAAGGCTGTACATGCAGCGATCACGGAAAATGAAATTATACCCCAAATCCCTGCACGAAATTAATTTTCGTTACGAAACGCGTAATCGGAAGTCAGTATTGATAGAGAGACCTGAAATAGTCGCCTGGCGTCGAAAATACCTACGCGAAATGATTGAATATAGGCGACAAAGCAGAAAAATCTATTATTTGGACGAGACATGGGTAAATGCAGGTCACACAGTTAAAAAACCTGGATAGACAAAAACGTAGTGAGTAACCGACAAGCAAGCATTGAAGGTTTGTCAACAGGTCTTCGTGGACCGTCAGGGAAAGGTCAAAGATTGATCGTAACTCATATTGGTAGCGATAGTGGCTTTTTAGAAGAGTGTGACTTGATTTTCGTTCCTAAGAAAGGAGATGAGTACCATGACGAAATGAATGCCAGCTGCTTCGAGAGCTGGTTTCAAGGGGTGCTTCAGCGAGTTGAGCCCAACTCCGTGATCGTCATGGATAATGCTTCCTACCATAGTCGTCGAGCCGAACGTGTACCGACTATGGGATCTCGAAAAAGTGACATGCAGCAATGGTTGCGCGAAAAAGGAATCCCGTTTGACGATTCATGTGTGAAAGCGGAATTGTATGAAAAAGTTAAACAGCACAAACCTGCGAACATTAGTTATGTGACTGATGAGATAGCCCGTCAATGTGGTGTCACTGTGCTGCGATTACCGCCCTACCACTGTGAACTGAACCCAATAGAGCTCATCTGGGCTCAAGTGAAGGGTTATATTGCGCGCCATAACACAACCTTCAAATTACCAGACGTTAAGGTTCTACGTGAGACTTCCATACAGCTAGTAACGCCCGAAGCTTGGCAGAATGCTATCCGTCATGTTGTGAAGGAAGAAACAAAAATGTGGCAGCTTGACCACCACATCGACACCATCATAGAGCCAGTTATAGTCAATTTCAACGAGGAAGGCGATAACGACAGTTTATTACTGTCAGATGTAAGTGGAAGCGACGATGAATAAAGGTAATTCCCAATTTTTTGACTTACAATATGTTTCAAACCACTCTTTATTAAGCATGTGACAAATCTAGTTCACCCATGTTAAACATTCATACCCCGCCTATGAACAGCCGACTACTGGTAGTTAAGTGATGTTCACGTGAACATCGATGAGTCATTACAGTTTTAGATAGTTATAGTATAGTGGTCTAGGGAAACGTAAACAAAAAATTCGACAGAGCTCGTTGGTGTTGTACTCCTAATATGTTGGAAATAAAATCTAAAAATGAGCCCAAAGCTCCCCCAACAAAGAAAAGCCGCCAAAGAATTACTTGAAGAAAATGATGAGGAAGAAGATTTTCCTAAGATTTCTCATGACGAAGAAGAGGACTGTGCTTGCATTTACTGTTACGGAGAAGACTGGTTGCGGTGCTTACAATGTTCGTTTTGAGCTCACGCTTCTTGAGCTAATGTTGCAAGAAGAACTAACCGTTTCATTTGCGAATTATGCCAATAATTTTGTAGCTATTATATGTGTCATCTTATCCGTTAGAAGTGTGTCATTTTGTCCGAAGCACATGGAAAAAATGGATTATGATTAATCTCGGTTGAATATTTCCTGTCTTTTGCTAAAAATGTTTATTAGTTTTCATGATTTAAGGACCAAAGATGATTGTTGTAAGCTATGGATGTGCTGTGAGGTACCAATAAAAAGTTATGATACAGAAACAAAACTATATGTCATTTTGCACATATTTCCCCTAACCGTTGCTAAACGAGTTTTGAAATACACGATAGGAAAATAGTCCTTCTACAGACGACACAAGTATACGTATGCTAACTAGGCTTGGCATTCCTAGTCGGCGTGCCAATCGATGGCATACAAAGATCATTACCCCATGCAATATCTAATACTTAACGCATTTAGAAGCAATCAAAGTTGCCTCTGCAATCACAGCATTCGATAGTAGTAGGTACGAGTACTATCATCCATACATCCTCATACCAAATATTAGATGCTCGACTCTATACAATACATTGTGTTAACATGCCAATATCGTTACGACACTTCCAAATGGTGAAAGAATCTTTCTAGCGCAGTAAAAATACTGTACCGTAAAATTTGATACTGCATTTACTTTAACGGTAGGTTACGCAGTGTTGTATTTCTATTACTACTAAGTACTAAGTATAGCAGTACTGCCACTCTGAAGAAACTCAAATATATGTTGCTGGGAGTACGACTGCTTCTTGATAAAGCTTCATTCTATGAGCCGTTTTACACACAAGAGAATTACACCGAAAATTAAGGTTATAATAATTATGACGAAAATTTTTGCTGCCGTATTACCCCTAAAAGAATTCTTGTGAAAATTTTCATGGTAAAAATATAAAACCCGTGCTACAGAATATGCGCGAGAATCGGCGCAGAGGGTTATTTCCGTGCATGTCATTATCAAATGTCAACGTCAACAACATAACCTCACTTAACATTTGTGGGTGTGGTCCTGTTCGAGTCGTACGAAGAAGCGTTTATTGTTATTGTTTATTCATAATGTCGTTGAATCGGGAAGAAGTTAGAAGTTACACTGTTGTTGGAGGAGTACCAAAAATGGCCAAACCTGTACAAGGTGAAGTCACCCAATTACAAAAACAGAAATTTGCTGCGTCAGGCGCTGGATGCGATAGTCCAAGCATTGAGAAGGTTTCAATCAATCAATCAATTCTTTATTCATGTCACAATACATAAAATATGTTTACATACGTCAGTAGATCAAATGAGAATTGCATTAGAATTAAAACAAAGGGAGTGCTAATGATCATAAAAAATTCCAAACAAGTACACCAGCACTCATAAAGATATAACGCTAACATAACATATTAAGATTTATAGTTAAAATTTATGTCTTAAAAACTCTTCAAACGTGTAAAATGAGTTTCATGCAAATTTTCGGCTTAATTATGACCATAATTTTCGGAGTAATTCTCTTGTGTGTAAAACGGCTCTATGTTTACTGGGACAGTTTTGAGCCGATGGTTCCCCATATTTCTCAAAACCACTTGTGTTGGAAAGATGTTCTTTACGTTTCGGTCACAATGGTGACCTTTTTCAGTACCGTGACTTTGACAATACATTTCATTTATCTGTCTGCCAGGTTTATTTTTTCTTTTCATTTTCATAACCGGTGTTTCCAGAACCAGACAAAGTCAAGGAGAAAGCAGGGAAGAAAAAAGAAAGGAAGGAAGGAGGAAGTGCAAACAAGAAAGAAGTGCGTCAATTTGAGGGGTGCTTTGGCATTGCTAAGCAGTATTCGGCTATTTTAAATTGATCCTAAAACTAATTTAGAGATTGATTGAAGGAAAATTATAATTTTGGATCTAAAGTCGCACGATTTAATTTTGTTCACAGCACGACCCGTGGTCTTGTGTGCTCGCGAACTTGCTCGACTGTGTAGTCTACTGACTCGCGCAATAAAGAGTAAGGTTAGGTAAGGGATGCAAGGTCGCTGCGAAGGGTGTCATTGCAGACATACCAAGGTACTGTTCTTAAGACCCTGCAGGCTACGCAAATGATGTTTGCACACCAAATCACACTTGCGTAAGTGATCGCTGGTCTAATAACCATTTTGTATAGCCGAACTTTGTTGATCAAACTTGGTTTTGAGGTTCTACATAGCATTAGTTGCAGAAACGTGATTTGTAATTCAGTTTTCAACGCTTCAGTGTGCTTCTGCCAGGTCATCCTCTTGTCAAGAGTGACAACGGGATACTTAACGTAACTTTCACATGGTACCCGAGCTCTATTCTACGTTTTTTAGTACAATAGATAGCCTGCGTTTTCGAATGATTAATTTTGATCAGCCACCGATTCGGCCATTCCGGTACCTCGTCCACCGCACTTTGCAGCCTGTCTTGGACTAAAGCCATGTACAGATATGTAACGCCGTCACGAACCTGATTAACGTTACAGCTCGCCGCTCGGCCCGATCCAGGCTCTGTCGGTTTTTCAGCGCCACATCAAAGGAATGGCTCGCGACGAAGTTGCTCATGTTTGGACAGGCATACCGGTGCGGCGAGCATGCGCT